GTAATATTGGGAGGTAAGGTAAGGTCACCCTCAGGTGGTTTCTTTCCAATGTTCCGGAGATAATACATTGAAACGTGCTCTGCCTCTTGCTCTTCCCTTCATTTCCAGAACCTGTTCTTTTCTTTGCACCCTATTTAAGGAAGATAGGACATCTCGATTCCTTGCTTCTGATTCCCACTTTCTTTGCTTATGCTATCTGCTGAGAATGAAAAAGGTAAGTATGTCCTCTGTATGCATCTTTCTTTTTCTTGAATTTGTAGTGGACTGTCTAAGTCGAAGAACTGCAGTCTCCAGATTGTGGACCCAGATGTGTTGAATAAGAGATCACATTCTTCTTGTAGGTGAAGCCCTCTTTTATCACTATTATTTAACAAAGAGGCCAACTCCTGGCCCTTTTCTCTCTCGAAACAGATTGGACTGCTTCTCTATGCTTTATGGATTCATACACAAAAAATTTCTGACGAGGACTATTTTGAGTGAAATTTAAATTTGTAATTTTCTGCCTTTAGACTTGAATTTACTGTATTATATAAACTTCCATGTTCGAGGAGAAAGAATGGTTAAGTTGTGTGGGATGTGTGTTGGATCCCATGAGAATTCAGCTCTTCACAGACGATGGGTAATATTGCTCCTGAACCTATCAGCTTAACATTTAAGATACAGACATCTAGATAATATACAAATTAGATAGAATGCCTCCTTCTTCATTGAGAGAAAAATCTTCTAAAAAAACACACTACTGTGTTGAGGGCAGAGGGTGTTTTGGTTTTTTTTTTTACAATTGTAATAATTGTAATAAAAATTATTTCTTACAGTGCTACAGTCAAATGTCATGGTTTTGGTTTTAGAATTGGAAAATTTAAGTATGAATGATCAATACAATTACCCCATATTTTAAAAGACATTTAAAATAGCAGGTTCCAACATAGCATCACTTGAGCAATAATTATTGTTACTGTTAATTACTTATCAATTGTGCCCTTAAATTATTCACTCAGAACAATGACATTAATGAGATACTGCTTGGAATTTTAAGAGATGAAAGCATCCTGCTAACCATCGAGCATGCTCTCTTTTCATTCTAATTCGTTGCTCATTCATTCAGTATTTATTAAAACCCTACTTTGAACCAAGCCTTTTCTGGGATGAATAAATAGAGATAAAGACCATGAATCCTCAAGAAGAAGAGGAAATATATATATATGTATATATACATATATGGCATATACATGTATATATACTTACATGTATATGTGTATATATCTGTCTATACACATCTGTATATATATATACATGTATACACATATATACACATGTGTATATATGGCCATACATATGTGCATATATACACATATATATGGCATTCCCTGTACTGTCCAAACATATGGCATATTTTCCTCAATGATAAATAGAAAAGAATATAGGAATTAAAATCATGTATTTATCTAACAGATGCATATTCTGCTTTTCATTCATCCATCTATTGTTCATTCCAAGTCTTATATATTCATTTGTTCATTTACCATTCAATAAACATTTATTAAGGAATTATAGTAAACCAACTGCTACTGTTGGCCTCCGTATATAAACCATCTATCTTGGCCTTCAAATGATCTCCATCTACTGAGTTAGTGTATATGAGAGTGCTATAATAGAGTGCTATGAATATGAAACAAAGACAAAGGAGATTGAATCTGCCAGACTTGAGATGGGAGTCTTTCACAGGGGAATGGGTAACTTGAAATGAATACTGAGGAAGCAGAAGTTTGTATAATACTCAAGTGGAGAAGGACAATTTTGTCTAAGTGTCCAAAGAGGTGGCTTAATGAAACACTTCTTTGAACATGAAATACAAAATATACCAAAGAGCCTATTTAAATTTTGATGGGGTGCCTAGCTACAAGATAACTTTTCTTTAGATCAATATGAATAATACTACAGAGGCTCAAACCTGCTTATGGAGTCATAAGTGGTCCCTTCAGAGTTTGGGGTTTTCCAGTAAAATTCCCTGTAAGGGGGAAAGACTCAGCTAGAATGGGTCTTCCACCTGTTGTGTATGCTAGGCTTCCTACCTGGAATATAAGCATGATGTCCAGAGTCTGAGCAATGTCCTGTCATCAAGGCAACATTCCTGGGCTGAGTAGGATAGGTGGGGCTACAGGCTCCACCCGACCCATGGCTTCTACCCAGCCTATGGCTTCCACCTAGCCTGTAGCCCCATCTAGCATGGAGCAGCACCACAGGCCATCCACTGCCTAAGACATTTCATTATTTGAGTGAAAGTCTCTTTAATTACTTAAAGCATTGGTTTTCATTATCTTGTTACTTAGGCAAGCTGATGAAATCAATGTATACAGGCAGATCAACCTGAGCCATATGGACATAGATTGTGATTTTTTTTCTTTTATCTTTTTTTTTTTTTTTTTTGTCAGTCGTGGGGCTTGAACTCTGGGCCTGGGCGCTGTCTCTGAGCTCAAGGCTAGCACTCTACCGTGTGAGCCACAGCTCCACTTCAGATTGTGATTTTGACTCCAGTTGTTTAGTGGACACCTAGGAATTCACTTACCTTCTGATCAAGGTAAACAAGACAATCTGCATTTATGCAAACAAACCAAATCCAATACATGACAAAAGTTATAACTCTTTCAGATTTGTGGAGTAAATGGACACATCTGTTATCCTTTGTGAAACTAATTTATAGTTTATTGAAATGAATACTTAGGAAGCTGAAACACTTTTTTCATCAGAAGGGGGTATGGCTCAAGAGGAAAGAGATTAGACAAACAGAGAGGAATTGTGGGCAAATATAGTCATAATATTCTTTCTCTCTATATACATATATGTGAAAATGAAAGTAGGTAACTTGAGGGATGGGTCAGGTTGGGAGAGATAGGGTGGTGGAGAATGGAGATAACACTGAACAAGCTGAATTGTGCTTACAAATTGACATGCTGAATTAAAACCCCTTTATACACTTACTTTAAGATAATAAGTTAAACCGACTTACAGATGATAAAGAATTAAGAACTCTACCAGTTAAAAACTGCTATTATTTCAAGTTATAAATGTTGAAACCAAGGCACAATGATATTATAGAAATAGGTCATGAAAATACTGAGTCATTTTGCTATATATTTGATCTTTGACCATCATGAATTCATAATTTTCAGTTCCAACTACTAAGCAGTGAACATAAAAATATCCATCGTGCTATAGTTAATTATAATAAAAATAAAGATACCATCACCATCTGGCTGTTCTGAAAGTTGTGTAGAAATGAAAAGCTTGTAATAAAAAGCATCTAGCATGAATTTGAATCTCATGGGCTGTGTTATTGGGTTTGATGAGCAACTTGCTTAGCTAGCATAACTAAACTCCCAACATCTGTTTCTTTACTTCTTTCAGTTTTTGGTTTTCATTAATTTGGGAGTTCTAAAAGGTCTGGAATTTTAACCAACATAAATATTACTGTTTTACAGTAGCACTTCCCCAAATACTTTCCTTAAACAGCTGTTTCACAAGATGTTAAATTTTTATAAACTTTTCCTGTTTAGATACATTTGGAAAATAATTATGCTATTCCTTTTTACTGAGGAATTTCCCAGAAATCTAATATGAAAAAGTCCATTGTAAATCTCCTAGAAGGAAATACACCTTGTAGCTCTTTAAAAAGTGATGATGCCATCCTTTTATCCTTAGAATATATTATGGCACTGTGCTCCCACAAATGTAGGAATGATTAGTACCACATATTCCAATTTACATTTTTATTTACTCTAGTGTGAAGTAATATATTTCAACAGAACTATATATACAGAAATTTGAAAGCTTCTGGTATCATTATAATGATACCAGATAATACACAGGTGTAAAAAGAGAAGACAATTGGTAAATGTAACTTCCCTTGCCAACCAAAAAATGCATTGTTTCATAACTAATTTCTAAATATTCACATTTACATTTAGAATCCTTGTAATTTATCTTAGCATGTTGTTCTCGAGTTGTTCTGTTTCTGGCTTTGCAGAGTTCCAATATTCTTCCTTTGAGCTTCGCAAGACCTAGTATTTGGAAAATATTCCTGTATCTGTAAGTGTAAAACCTGAAAATGAAAGCCATGTCTCCATCATGCCAGTAGACATCTTCTTTCATCATATGAAATAAATGGGAGCGCAATCTTAATACCTTCAGGATAAAAATAAAACCATATTTTCCTTAATGAGCTGAATAAGCAGTGATATCTGTGTTATGGATAAATAGTATACGTAGTAAATAAATATACCTGAACTTCTCAAGAAAAGCCTCTCATTAATTTTGGTGCTTCACTATTTTGGGTTACATCAAACATGTAATTTTAATATATCATAATCTAAATAACTTGTTTATGTTAAACTCAATGCTCTGAAGGGACCACTGGATTTAGTAAGAAGGGCAGTAAAGCATTCATTTGGTTATTTTCCAATTGTGTATCTGAGCTATTATTTTTTAAATCATATTTAAAGATAATGAAGGAGTGACTAAGTCTAGTAATTCAGTCTAGGTCAGTATCTTCTTGGCTTTATGTGATCTCCTTAAAAATCTTTCTTAAATAGATTTATTGTTTTCCTCTTCTCTAGGAAATATGTATCTCTTAAAGAAAGGATATTTTAAAATTTTTACTCTCTCCTGGTGCTGGTGGCTCACGCCTATAATCCTAACTAGTCAGGAGGCTGAGATCCAAGGATCAAGGTTCAAAGCCAGCCCGGGCAGGAAAGGCGGTGAGATTCTTATCTCCAATTAACTACCAGTAAACCGGAAGTGGTGCTGTGGCTCAAGTGGTAGAGTGCTAGCCTTGAGCTGAAGAGCTCAGGAACAAATGCCCAGGCCCAGAGTTCAAGACCCACAACTGAAAAAAAAAAAAAAAAACTACTCTCACTCTTCTCCCCTGTGTGTAAATGTGTCCCATTTTCACTACTGGAAGAGAGATTTTTTTTTGGTGGAAAAAATGTATATTTGTAATTAGCCAGCTGGACTCAGCTTTGATGATTTCAATTATGATTCCAATTTTGTTGGCAACATCTAAAGCCTCATAATCAGGAGCCAGTTGAACATATGCCTTCTTCTCTCCATCAGGTCTGATCAGGGTATTGACCTTGGCCACATCAATGTCATAGAGCTTCTTCACAGCCTGTTTGAGCTGATGCTTGTTTGCCTTGACATCGAAAATGAGCACAAGTGTGTTGTCATCTTCTATTTTCTTCATGTCTGACTCAGTGGTCAGGGAGAACTTGATGAGAGCATAGTGGTCAAGCTTATTTCTCCTTGGAGCACTTTTCCAAGGGTATTTGGTTTGTCTTCAGAGCCAGAGTCTTGAGCTGCCGGAAAGTGGGTGAAGTGCATATCTTCTTTTTGTGGCTGTGGATGCCTTTCAGCACTGCCTTCTCGGCCTTTAAAGCCTTTTCCTTGGCTTCGGCTTTAGGAGGGGCAGGAGCTCCTTTCTTTACATTTGCTTCCATCTTGGTGAAAAGCAGAATTTTTTAATATTTGAAATTTGTGTTTATTATTTTATTTCTTAGGAAAGGAGATGGCTACATATTCATTCCTGTTGGTTTGTAAACATGATACAAAGAATCCAGCGGTCAACTGAATGAATACTGAGTTGTCCCAGGAATAAGTGATTTTCATAGATAACCAGCATAAACTTAGAAATCCTAAAGGAGAGTTCCTCTATCATCCACCAAAAATTCCTGGTCCTCTATCTTTGTTTTGGTATTTTCTTTTCTGTTTGAGTCTCAGATCTTCAGGCAGCTGTCACCAGTCCATAGTTTCCTAACTGAAAATGGTAATTTCCCAACAATAATCTACCTACCAAAAATTTCCATTGTCCATTGGAAATGACTCCAGAGCAGCTGGGTGTATCAGAGCCCAGTGTTAAAAGACCAAAGTTTTCTAATCCACCCAATTTAAAGAACTAGATATAAAATATGGACCAAGAACTTGGCATTAGATTTAATCATGAATTTGTTTTCTAGGTAAGTTAAGATTCACTAATTCTTGGTGAGACCAATTAGTGAACTTTGTTTCTCTTAACTTTAGCCTGGACTTTGACTAACAGCTAACTGGCTCATAAATGCCCACCCATAAGAATTTAGGAGAATCACGGTTGTTGCTCAGAGTTTAAAGAGCTTCAAATTATAATCAAGTTCTTTGATTAGATTCATAATATATGCTTGGTCTCAACAAATTTGTATAACTGGTTATTATGACCACAGTTGTTAATATATAGAACTCTCCTAGGCACTAGAAATATGTGGATAGAGACCACATGATATGTGGTCATGTCCAAATCAAGGTGTATTGCAACCATCCCTCTACTTGTTATATAAAATAAGTAGTACTTTTTCAGCTAACTATAATGCATACATACAAAAACACAATTTTGTTCTTTTTATTATAGTTAAAGTGATGTACAGTGGGATGGGTTACAGTTACATAAGTAAGGTAATAAGTATATTTCTTGTCAAACTTGTTACCCCTTCCCTCATTTTTTTCTCTTGCTTTCTTCCCCCCCCCCAGCTCCCCAAGTTGTACAGATCATTTCCAACATATTGTTGTGTATATATTGCTGCGGCACTGGTTCTCCTCTTGTCCTTTGTTTTTAACCTTGTATACACATCTAAATCTATCCAATTACTAGAGTATCTGTTGATATAAATAAATTTTCAAAAGGAATGTAAATTAACAGAACAACCATCAAAGAAGTGAATAAGTAATTAGATACATATTCTCCAATTTCTCCAACTTCGAGACTTTCACCTGTCATAAAATATATTTATTGTAATTGTTGAATGTTTTTATAATGATTAAATATTCTGTACTAAAATCTACATTTTAAAAAGATTAAGAGATATGTTATAAAATTCAACTAATGTCACAGCTTTTAAAAACCTGGAATAAACACATACTGGTCACTATGCTCTCTAGTAGAAATGGAAAGATGATGACAAATTGGAGGATATATTAAAAAGAATGGAAGCAGGCTTGGAAGTTGGCTCAGTGGTAGAGTGCTTGCCTTGCATGCCTGAGGCCCCGGGTTTGATTCCTCAATACCACATAAGCAGAAAAAAAGCTAGAAGTTGTGCTGTGGCTCAAGTGGTAGGGTGGTAGCCTTGAGCTGAAAAGCTGAGGGACAGTGCCCAGGCCCAGAATTCAGCCCCCATGACTACCCAAAAAAAAAAAAAAAAGAATGGTAGCAACCTGAATTTGTTTCCGTTGGAAAAGTCAATAGTGATTGTCACTGGGTAGTAAAATTCTGGTTCATGCATGTTTATCTTATTTTGTTCTGTATATTTTAAAATCTTCATCTTCTAATTTGACTACAGTGGATATAATAAATTCATGAGATTTAAAAAATTAACATGAAATTGTAATAGATCTTAGAAGAAGAAAAGAATGATTCAATAGTGGAGGGAAGCATTCAATGGAGAATGGAGGGAAAGAAAGACACTGGTGAAAGGAACCTGCATAAGAGAATGTTGCCATAGGAGCCATGAGTCCCCTAACATTTGCAATCAGATAGACCTGATTTCTAATCTGGGATTCAAATTATAATCAAGCACAAGTATCTTAAAATGTCCAAGTTCGTGGGGTTCTGGTGGCTCATGCTTCCAATCCTAGCTACTCAGGAGGCTGGGATCTGAGGGTCATTTGAAGCCAGCCCCCGAGGAAAGTCTATGAGACCTTTATCTCCAATAAGCCAGGCCCAAAGAAACATAGGTCCCATGGTTTCCCTTATTTGCAATATCTAGTATATGTCTGAGTCAAGCAGAAAAGGTCAGATAAGGTGATGTTAGGGAAATGAACCCTAAGATATATATTAGAATTCTTTTCTTTCATGCGATTGTTTCTAACACATTTATAAGATTATTTCTTTGTTGCTTTGTATGTTCCTCCCCCACAGTATAACCCCTGCTTTCACTGTATTTGACGTCGGTATAATTTGTGGAGGGGAAGGAGAAAAACAAATAGTTTAAATAAGGATACAGGTGGACCCATTGCAACAATGAGATGTACAAGTCGTTATGTCGAAAATGAACTTTACAACTTTTGTGCGGGGGTGGGGGGGCCGCTGGGGGCGGGGAAGATTGGATGGGGGGCCGGGGAAGGATGAGAAGGGATGGGAAGGGGAAACAAAGGAGGAGGCTACAATGCTTGATAAGAAATGCACTCATTATCTTGCCCATGTAATTGTAACCCCTCTATACGGTATTTTCACAATAAAAAAAGAAAAAAAAAAAACAAACAAAAAACAGATGAGGAGCTTTGGCTCAAAGTGGCAGAGTATTATCTTTGAGCAAGCAAAGCTCAGGGATGGTACTCAGGCCCAGAGTTCAAGCTCCATAACTGATCAAAAAAAATGTATATTTATCTCATTATAAAGCCAAGCCAATTTTAAAAACATGGATATCATATGATATCGTTAATAAAAAATACAGGTAGTGCCGGTCGCTGGTGGCTCACGCCTGTAATCCTAGCTACTCAGGAGGCTGAGATCTGAGGATCCCAGTTCATCCCGGTTCAAAGCCAGCCCGGGCAGGAGAGACCGTGAGACTCCTATCTCCAATAAACCACCAGAAAACTAGAAGTTGTGCTGTGGCTCAAGTGGTAGGGTG